TGCTGTAATTACCAGCCTTTGGGTACATAAACAATTGCTCATGGGTTTGGGTCTGCCCAGCCTTTCTGTCCTTTTTCCTTCTCAACATGCTTTGCACTCATAATAGATTTTCCTTTTGTTCTTGGATGCCTTACTTGGAAGAACATGAAGTTTCAGGCTCCCAGGGAGTCCTCAACTGGTTCAGATATCTCAACTCTCTGTAACTTTGGGTATGTGCAGAAGTGCCTTTATGTTAGGGGAACTTGAAAGTGAGAGCCTGGAAAAGCTTACATGCCTTTGAAGACAATTTGGTGACAGATTGGCAGAGCCTTCTAGGAAGGGGGTTTTGATCTGAGGGATGACCAGTGACAAGGACACTGGAGTAATTTCAAAGTTTCTGGTTACTCCAGTGAAAGCAGCTGTTGTTTTCACTGTCAGCAGGCAATAATCAGCCATTTGTATGTCCCTGTGCTCTTGCAGGGGCGACACGGCTGTAGCTGTGAGGTGTCAAAGTGTACCTGTTGAGGTGGCACATCACTCCCTCTGTTCTTGTTTTCTAGCCGTAGGAAATATGGCACCAGTTCCAAGAGCAGGCACGTGTTGGCTGTATTGGGGACCAGTGCTCCCTCTATATTATTTTCATGAGCTACACCTTCTGATGGGATTCTGCATCTTATTGTAGGGATTATTAACTCAGAATTTGAAGAATCTGAATAGTAAACAAGTGCTCAAGTGTTTCAGACCTGCGTGGTTTCTTGCTCATTTTCTCTTCCTTGTTCTTGCTGATGAATGCTTTAGTTCCCACATTAAAAGAGGAGTAGTGTCAGCAAGAGGCTGTGTGGCTTTGGGGAGCTCCCCAGGCGCAGGCAGGCCGTGAAGGGTTGCACTGCTGTGAGGTTGGGAGTGTAGGCAGGAACATTCCAGGTGCTTTCCAGCAGCTGCAGCCATTGGACAGCTGCCCCAGCTTGGGGATGCAGGACTTAATGTGCAGTTCCATTTCTGTCTCCATTGCTGCTCTCTACCTGCACACCCCCAAATATAAAGGTGTTTCCTAATTCTGTACAGGATCAGCAGATGCCCTCTACCTCCCATGTAATGTAATCCCTACTGAAATGGAAATACCACTGCAATACAGCAACAAGATGTCAGTGATTCTTTTCAGCTGTCCCCACTTTGTGGGGGGGACCTGTGTAGTCCTGCCTAGTACAGCATGCTGCTGGACACTGCTGCCTTCCTGCTGCTTACTGTCCAAAATATTGCAGAGATAGAAACTGCAGTAATTTTGAAGGGGGTGTGGCTATAGCTTCAGAAGATGTGTTTTGTTGTGGTTTTTTTCTTCGCACAGAAAATTAATAAGAAACTTGTTGCCTCAGGAGACCAAGTTAAGTGAATTTCTAAGAGGCTGGGCACTGTCATGTAGCAATATTTCAAGTCTCATGCTTAGGGGAAATTGGCTGTAAGGATGAGGAAGCAGAGCTGTGTATCTGCAGTTGTTTTGGCAGGATTTTGCATCCCATTGCTTTCCATTGAAGCATTAAATAGTGACTACTGCTGGAGACAGGATATTAAACTTGGTACAATCTCATGTGTGTTTTTTAGAGCTTTTGATTCTCAAGAAGTGAATGAACTCCCTTATTATAAAACTTCTGTTCTAATCCTTGCAATTTAATAATATCATTAAAATGTTGTATAATGTATATGCAATTTCAAGTTTTGACTTACAAAGGCAAGTTTAAACCTGCTCGTAAGTCCCTCCTGCTGTGCTTAGGAGCTGGCAGGAAAAGTAAAATGCTTTGTCAGCAAAGCAAAACAAGTAATTAGAACTAAACTTTTTTGCACTGGGAAGAAACCACTGTGCTCTTGCCACCTCAACCCATGAATTTCATATAGACAGGTTTCAGTGTTTGTGGAATTATGATCTGGAATTAGTCTCACAGACTCTGTAAGATGGTGAGTCCTACTTTTTCTTTGGGTTATTTTGGTGGGTTTTTTTTAATGGTGTTTTGTTTTTGTTTTTGTTTTTTGGAGTTTTTTTTGGGGGGGTGTTTGATTTTTTTTTGTTTTACTTTTTCTCTTTTTTTTTTTTGTTTGTAGTTCTCATTCTCATATACCCATCTTTATCTTGCCATGACTTCATACCATGCTGAAAGGTCACAATTCTCTTCACACTGTTGCTTTCTTTTTTCCATGAAAGAAACTGGTGTTGGGGGTTGAAGGGAGCTGTAGAATACATGGGAGACATTGAAATGACTTAGTATGAGGCCAAGTGTGAGCAAAGATAGCAGAGTACCAGCTGCTGAAGGGCTGTGTTGCAGGGTCAGAGCACAGCAGCTGAGACTGCCTCTGTACTAATTGAAAAGATAAGGGAGACATGGGCTAGGGACAGCATTCTCTGGTTTCTGCTGCCAAGTGGCAGGACACAGCTCTTGTCCACAATGGTTGGGCTGTCAGGCCTCTGCCAAAACCCAGGTGCCCTCATCCAGCCTGCCTGCTGGGAATGGTTCTGGCACCTGCTTCATCCTGCATAATCCAGGAGAGGAAGAGGTGGCCTGAGCCAAAGCCCTGAAATGTGCTAATTGTTAAACATTTTGGCCAGTACTGGAATCTCTGCTTTAACCTTGTCTTCTTTAGTAGCCACTTAGCCCAGCTTATGCAAACTTCCTCACAGATATACTGGGGTTTTAAACACAGAGCCATGGAAATGTTGGTTGGAAGGGAGTTCTGGAGGGTATCCAGTTCAGCTTCCTGGAAGGAGCAAATGTAGCTGGTCCACTTCTTTTAAGGAATTAAGGAATCCTAAAGGTAGTTATAGAGATTTTAATAGTTCTGTTTCATGAGCAGTGTAAATGAATTTTTTATTTTTCTTGCTTTCAGTGGGATTGAGCAGAACCCTTTGTCAAATCCTAAGTGCTGGGTTGTGTGTCCCAGACAAGTACAGTGTGTCATCAATCCCAGACAAAGTTTTTGCCTGGGTAAGTGTCAGGAGCATTTGTCTTTGCAGTGCTGCAGGCAGGATGGTGGCAGCTGTGTGTCCCCTGGGCAGGCTCCAGCTGTTCTTGATCTCTCCTCAGTTAGTTAATTGCATGCAATATTTCCACCTCTGCTGTGTCACGGTTTAGGGAGGCACTCCCCAGTTTAGTGCTCCCACAAACTCTCCAAACTCATTCACTCTCCCTCCCCCCCTGCAGTGGCTGGAGAGGAGAATAGGAGGCAAAAAAGGTGAAGATTGTGGGTTCAGATAAGAACAAATTACTGGAAATGAGATGAGGAAAGGGACAGTAAAGGCAATGGAAACCCACAACAGACAACACCAGCTCTCTCTGCCTTGGAATTGGAGCCATCAGGAACTTCTACTCCCCAGAAAAGACTCCCTTCCCCCTGCCCCCGGTAATGATGTGAGGTGGCACAGAATAACCTTGTTGTCCTGGCCCTGCCCTCTCTGGACTATTAAAAAAAATTAACCCTGTCCTGGCTGGAATCAGGACATGCTGCTAAATTTCTGCATGAATACTTAGCTTTATAATATTCTTCTCAACCTCAGGAATATATTAGGCATTTCATTTCTTCATTTTGGTATCACAGAATAATTTAGGTCAGAAAATACCTCAAAGATCATTGAATCTAACCATTAACCTGACCAGTCCACCGCTAAAGAATGTACCCAATGCCACATCTGCACATCTTTTAAGTACCTGCAGGGATGGTGACTTCCCTGGGCAGCCAATTCCCACGCTTGACCACCCTTGTGTTAAAGACATCTTTCCCAATACCCAATCTAAACCTCCTTGGCATAGCTTGAGACCATTTCGTCTTGTCCTGTCATTTGTTACCTGGAAGAAGAGGCCAGCCCCCAGCTGCCTAAAAAGTCCTTACAGGGAGTTTTGGAGAGTGATGAGGTCCTCTCCGAGTCTCCTTTTCTCCAGACTGAACAGTCCCAGCTCTCTCAGCTGCTCCTCGTGTGAGTCACTTTCTAGACCTTCACCAGTTTCACTGCCCTTCTTTGGACTCGTGTGCAACTTCCTGTCATCTGCAAACTGACTGAGGGGATGGACACTTGATCCCCTTGTCCACATCACTGATAAAGATATTTAAACAGGACTGGCCTCAGCAGAGCCCTGGGAAACACCACTAGTGACCAGCCACCAACTGGATTTAATTCCATTCCCCAGCACTCTCTGGGCCACCCAGCCAGCCAGTTTTTATACCCATCCAAGATGTAAGCACTCAGTTTCTCCGTGGGGATGCTGTGGGAAACATTGTCAAAGGCTTTAGTAAAGTCCAGGTAGACAACATCCCCAGCCTTTGCCTCTACCACTGAGCAGGTCACCCTGTAATAGGAGGAGATGAGCTTAGTCAAGGGTGACCTGCCTTTCATAGACCTGGTAGCTGGGAGAGGAGAAGGTTTGGGAGGCAGTTGGTGTCTTTAACTGGTTTGGGTAACTTCAGAAATCCAGGTGTTTATTGAGCACAAATTTATATGTGGTCTTTGTGCCTTCACTGTCTTTTACCTGTCTGTAATATTGGAATTATCAGATGAAATTCTTAAAGGCTGGTGTGAACACTGGTTACATCACTTATATTTAGCATTGGGAACTATAGAGTTCAGGATGATTTCTTCTTGATTTCATCCCTGATTGTGAGCTTTCCTTCCTCCTGTGGCAGCCAAAGGAGGGACCAGGTCCGTAATTTTTTTCTTGGTTTGAAATTTCACAACATAACCTACAAGAAGATAGGGATGCTGTTGACATAGTGGGGAAAATACTCCCTGAAAGCAATCTGTTACAGATTATTCTAGCGAAATAATCACCTCCATACATGGCAAGTTGGAGTAGGACTTAAGATTTTTTTTTTCTATGGCTTCACTCTCCTAATTAGTAATGTGTAATTTCATATTAAATGATTATTCAAGACTAGAAGTGGCAATTTACTGCTATTTTGAAATAAAAATTACTTTGGAGTTTATGATTGCTTATTCTACAGCTGGATGTTTCAGTGCCTCATTGCCTCTGTTCCTGTTACAGGTACATGTGACAGCATTGCAGCAATGAGTGGAATTTTAAAGAGGAAGTTTGAAGAAGTTGATGGCTCCTCACCTTGTTCCTCTGTGAGGGAATCAGATGATGACATTTCCAGCAGTGAAAGTGCTGACAGTGGTGATAGTGTCAATCCATCCACTTCTAATCATTTTACCCGTAAGTACTAACTCTGCGTACCCAAATAATTATTCCTGTTTCTCAAAATAAAATGAATTTTGTGCTTAGATAAGCATGATGATTTTTAATTGAGCAGATCATGAAACAGTCTCTCCATGATGTTCAGTTTGTGATTTGCTCAAAAATACTTAGTAAAATACTCTTACATTCTTTTACTTCTTGTCTGTTAGACTGTTGTTGTAAAAGTTTGAAGTCTCTTGGAAGCTCCTATCTATTTGCTGTTTGAATTATGTAGCTGTTTTTAGTTAATGTTAGCAATTGTGTTCAAAATAGTTCAAACAGGTACTGTAGGGAAAGTGCTTTAGCTCAGTTTATTTTCCTTAGCTGAATGTATTGCAGCTGTCAGCTCTCTGTAATACAGTATTGGTGAGAGTTCTTCTCTAAAAACAATATAAGCTTTCTTTTACTTGGAACTGATGAATGTTGTGTATGGTAGACATTATTTCAATAGTTTCTATTTTTCAGGTACCAGAGGATATTTCTGTACTTTGCAATGGTTTTGTGTACAAATAAGAATTTGGTCTTAAGTTAGCCAAGCTACATTTGCAGCATATCTTTCTGGGAATGATAAATTTACAGTTCATGTTTGCAGTTGATGATACGTGTTTTAGGTGGTTATATTATTTATTAATAGTGAACTGCATCTTCTAAAAAGCAGGGGTTTGCTTCCTTCAACTCTGTTGCATTTAGATCTCCTCTGTGGAGTTATTCCTTAAAACTGTGAGCCAAGGAGTAGGTGAGGCTCCTCATTGCTGCCTGTCCAGAGTGTGTTCCATGTAACTGAGTGGGTGGATGTGCCTAGAAATCACGTTTGTAGCATGTGATATGAATGTTCTTTAAAACTGCACAACCTACCAGATGCTGCTGTTCAGTTTGAGCAGGCATTTGGATGTGTGGGTCTGAATCCCATTTGCTCGGGTAGGGAATGTTCCTGTGCACAGGAGGGACAGGCACAACTTTTGAAACAGGTTTACATGGAACACTCTTGAGGTGCTGTATGATATTTAAGATGCAGTGCTAGTTGGAGACCTATTTTATTGAAGTGCCACAAAGGAGTAAGGGACCCAGTAAACCTCTTTGGTAGTATTTAGAAATTTAAATTTAGATTAGTATTTAGAAAATTTTCTTGGGGACAGTATTATCTGCATGCTGCTACTTTAACATTTGCATCTGTTGAAGAAGTTAGTTGATTATTCATTGTAGACTGAAAACAGGCTTTTTGCATCAGTCATTCCCACCCACACAGAAGACCACAATTTTATTGTGTGAATAAGTAAAATTGTGAATACATGCACAGGTGATACAATGAAAGGGAACAATTCAGGGGACAAACTTGGAAGTTGTAGTACATGCATGGAACAATAAGCTTTAATTGTAGTTGACATAATAAGCAATTTAGTTTAAAGGAACTTCCCTTTCTGTAAGAGAAACTACAGTATTTCAGTGTTATGATTAATGATTTATCTAACTGAGATACTTGTGGCCAGAGTAATAAATGTTTATCTGTATGTGCACTCGCATACATACAGAAATTGTACATATTACATTAAAAAAACCAAAACATTTGTGTATATCCATTGGTGATACAGAAGTAGAAAGAGCAAGTAGTTTATGTGTGCATTGACCTTTTTTAAAAGTATTGTCTTTAATACAGATGCACCAGCCTAAATTCCAAGAAATCAAATATAGAACCCCTGTATTACTTAAGAGCCATTAAGTGAGATTCACCTGAAAATTACATGCACACGTAATGTATACTAATTCAACTGTTTAACAGTGTTCATTGGAAGGTGTTTTGTTCATGCTTTAAACTCATTCATCTTCCACAATAAAAGACAAGAGATGAGCTTTTCTAAGCTGAATATTTGAATCTAAATATAAGGTTGAGTTCTGTGAGACTTTTTTCAGTGAGCAGACTGAAAAGAGCCAGTGTAGAAAAAAGGCTGTCGAGATTCCTTGCCTCTGTAACATGCCTGAATACCTCCTTGATGGGGGTTATCTTCCTAAGCTACTTCCCGACATGTTGTACCATTTTCTCTTCTATTTAGTGGGACACTGTCAGATCCTGTGTACTGTCTTTTTTCTGCTCTGTTTTCATATAGGTGAATATGAAGTTGACTATAAACTCTCTTTTACAGATTGCAAAAGGGGTAGAAGGTTGTATGACCTGTAGTCAGCATCAAGATCTATAAATTAATTATTAAATGGAGAATTAAAAAAAAGCTAACACGGTCCTCTAAGTCTTATTTTTTCTTTCTAATTGATCTGACAAAGAGATAATTCTAAATTGCTTGTAACTACAATCTCTTCAGCACTTTAGGAAGCAGGCATTTTGTATATGAATCCATCTAGCACAGCTGATGCATCTCTGTATTTACACAACCCTTGATACTATATGTATTGGGTGAGATAAACAGGAGCCTAGCAAGAATTCTGCTCAATTAGTCTTACAGTCAGTTTAACCTGCCAGCTAAATGAGGCACACAGCTGCTGTGGGTCATTCAGGTGGGGCAGAACCAGCAGAAGATAACTTTGTTCTCAGCAATTAACCCTGTAGTGTGGTGGCAGAAAACACATGACAGAGATGGCCCCAAGCGCTATTGCTTGTGACTATTACACTGGGATAATTACAGAGTTTCTTTAACAATATATCCATGTAAACAAATAAAGACAGCAACAAGAAGAAATTAATAAATCCCTAGCCTAGGCTGCAGGCAACTGAGTCAGTAAATAAAAATTACAGTCCATAAAGAATAGACAAATTTTACCATTAGCATTTTCTTTATATAGTGTGTGTATTTTTACAGATGTGCACATTTTTAAGTCTCTTAGCAAATGGTGATGGAGTGCCTTCATTACTGCTGGCAGATATAGTCCCTGTTGTGTGTTTCACTTACCTTTCTCAGTCTATTGAAGCAATTTCAGTTTGATTCAGCAGGTCATTAGTCATTGCAGATTTGCTTTAATGGGTGCCAAAGTGTATTGCTGGCTGGTCCACATGCCTTTCCCATTTCACAGACCTGCCTTCATATCAGAAAGAAGGATGTTCATCTTCAAGTAGCAGTGCAAGCGTTGCGCGTTCAGTATTAGCCAGGACTTGGGCATACACAGAATACAGGGCTGGAGCACTCAAAATGCCATTGGAGCTCCTTTCAAGATGCCCTGTTCAGTTCTGCCACTCCACTGCTGTGTTTCATCTGCTCCACAGCAAGCTGAAAAGCCTGGAATTGCTGTTACGATGTCAGTACAACATCCTGACCATTCCTGTATTATGTGCACTGAGGAACATTGAGTTCCACATTGCAGCTCAGCCATTGGGGAATATTCAATACCCTTCCAAGGAAGGGTAATGAAGCTCATGAAGGGTCTGGAACATAAATCCCATGAGGAGCAGCTGAGGGAGTTGTGGGTGTTCAGTGGAGAAAAGGAGGCTCAGGGGAGACCTTATTGCTCTCTACAGTTCCATGAAAGGTTGTCGCAAGGTGGGAAGTCTCTTCTCACAGACAAGGGGAAATGACCTCAAAGTGTGCCAGGGGAGGTTTAGGTTGGATATTAGGAAAAGTAACTTTGCTGTAAGAGAAGTTAAGCATTGGAACAGGCTCCCCAGGGAAGTGGAGAAATCGCCTTCCCTGGAAGTATTCAGAAAACAAGTAGACATGGCACTTCATTATACGCTTTAAGGGGCATGGTGGTATTCAGTCTAAAATAATTTTATGATCTTGGAGTTCTTTTCCAACATTAATAATTTGATGAATCTGTGATTCTCCCTGCTTTGGTGAGGTACCTGCCTCTAAATGCTTGGTGGGTTTTTTTCTGATACAGAAGAATACCTGTATTTAACTTACAGAATTGTGTGCAATTGAAAGACCTGTGGCAACCTTGTGAAGTCCTGTCTTTTGCACTTTGGTGCTGGTAATAACTCCCCATAGCACATTAATCACAGATGCATCTCTTAAGAAACATAAGGACCTGCTGCTTTCCTCTGCCATTTCAACTTCAGTGTCCTGTAGCTGAAACTTCTCTTCCTCGCCTGCAGAGTCACTTGAGATGGCCTGCAGCAGCTTCTCTGATAAGGTGATTATCACCAACAGGAGGTGCTGCCATTGCACAGTCTGGTTGATGTCCTCCATCCGTTCTCTCTCTATTGCCATTAGCATTATCACTGTCATGAGCAGGGTTATGCATAATCACAGGTCCTGCCATTCCACTAATTAGGATACTCTCTTTAGAGTACTTTTGGATCTCCTTTGGTTCATTTGGAATTGACAGGTCACCGAGGGCTCTGAGAAAGCTCTTTGGTCTCTAAGTGCTCTTGCCATCTTTTGATCTTGCAGTTAAATACAATGAGGAATTTGAAAACACAAAAGTACATCCCTGTTACAGTTCCTTCAATGTGCCCTGTAAAAGCATCGTCTGAATTTTGTAGAGCTGTTAACTTACTGAGATTGCCTTACATATGTTCCCATGCATAATGTAAAAGAAGGCATGAAATCCTTAGGAAGGTGTAGCTTCTTCTGAATTATCTTCATAGAGGGATAAAGTTTTATTTGGTGTAAGGTCAATAGCACAAGACCTGACATGAGCTTTGAACTTCAGCTGCATGTTTAATTGCAGGTTAATGATAGAAACTTCAGCTCTGAATGAGGTAGAAGTGGTGGTGCTGGTTTACTATGGGAAAACATGTGTAACTAAATGCAGGCATTTATTTTTTCATGGCATCTTGCAGTTATTCATGTTGCCAGCAACCAGGCTTGGAATTTCCTCGTTAATGAGGAATATGTTTTTATTGCTATTTGTTGACTCATGTTATGAAATGCTAACAGGTTGAGAGGTTCTTGTGTTTGATTTTAAAATCAGTCAGCTCATCTGAGCATTAAAAAGCAAGAGATGCAAATAAATTTAGTGAAATGTAGTGCAGTGTCTTAGCTCAAACTCACACAGAATGACAGGACAGGGTATACCATGACAGCATCTCTTCA